TACCTACCCCTCTCCCTTCCTCTCTGTAAAAAATCAATTAAATATATTAAAAAAATAAAATAAAGCAACGCCTCATTGCCCGTTCCCGTCTCACTGAGAGTACTGTAAAGCCAGCATCTTTGTGGGGATCAACGAGCTGCCACACCACCAGCCTCCCATGGCCCTGACCTCATCTGCTCCCCTCCCCCGGGGGCTCCCTCCCCTCCTGCCACACCGGCCGCCTCGCTGCTCCTTAAACACCCCAGGCAAACCCCAGGCTCGGCCGTTGCACTTGTGAGTCCCCCCGCCCCAGACAACACCCCCTGCCCCAGATGTTGGCCTGGTTGCTTCTCCTCCTCCTTCGAGACCTTGTTCAAACATGACCTTCTCAGCGAGGCTTTCCTATTTAAAATACCATCCTACTAAAAAATACAGGCCCCACCCACCTGGCCCGTGTGGCTCAGCAGTTCTGCATCATCAACCCGGGAACCGAGAGGTCGCCGGTTCGATTCCCAGTCAAGGGCACAGGCCCGGGTTGCGGGCTCGATCCCCAGTGGGAGGTGTGCAGGAGGCAGCTGATCCGTGATTCTCTCTCGTTGATGCTTCTAACTCTCTGTCCCTCTCCCTTCCTCTCTCTCTCTAAAAATAAATAAAAAAATAATTTTTAAATAAATAAAAAATAAAGCCCTAGCTGGTCTGGCTCAGTGGATAGAGCGTCGGCCTGCGGACTGAAGGGTCCCGGGTTCGATTCCGGTCAAGGGCATGTACCTCGGTTGCAGGCTCCCCTGCCCTGGTCAGTGTGCATTGCAGGGGGCAACCAATTGACGTGTCAAAAATCAATAAAATATATTTTAAATATATATATATAGAGAGAGAGAGAGAGATCCCAACACACCCTATCCTATTTCCCCAGCTGATCAGTGTTGCTCACTGCTGCTCCCCAGCGCCTGGCACTCAGATAACACCAACCGAGTAAACACGAGAACTCCACCTACCGGGTCGGCCGGCCTCCCGCCAACGCACCCAGCCCAGCCCTCCCTCACACCCTCCGTGCCGCACACCCTGTAGTAACAGGGTCGCCGGTCGCCAGGGGGGCGGCCTTTTGCGTTTGATACGTACCTGCTTCAACCAGACATTCGTGGTCATTAGCTGGTTTTTCTCATCCTGAAAAACAGAGATTTAAATGAGGCCGATGGTTCCAATTGCGGACACCATGATTCCCTAAATACGAGTTCTCTCATTTTATGCCAACGCTCCTCCCGGGTGGGACCTGCGTTCTGTTCATCCGACCAGAAAGGCAGGGCCCCTTTTCCAGCCTCGTGTCACATGATTCCTCCCAACGCACGCGGCCTTTCAGACAAACTGCCCTCACGCTCACCATCGGCGTTTTTAGATTTAACACTCACCGTCTCAACCACCACATTTCCTCAGATCTGACTGAGATACAACCTAAGAGATGAGCACAGTGGAACTTTATGTACTTGCTGTACACGGGCCCTGGCTGGTGTGGCTCAGTGGATAGAGCGCTGGGCTGCAGACTGAAAGGTCCCGGGTTCAATTCCTGTCAAGGACACACGCCTGGATGGTGGGCTCGATCCCCAGTGGGGGGCGTGCAGGAGGCGTTTAAAATTCAATGACTTGATCAATTGAATAAAATTCAATGACTTGATCAATGGAAAAATATCCTCGGGGGAGGATTAACAAAAACAAACAAACAAACAAAATATAGGTCCTAACCGGTTTGGCTCAGTGGATAGAGCATCGGCCTGCAGACTGAAGGATCCCGGGTTCGATTCCGGTCAAGGGCATGTACCTGGGTTGTGGGCACATCCCCAGTAGGAGGTGTGCAGGAGGCAGCTGATGGATGTTTCTCTCTCATCGATGTTTCTAACTCTCTATCCCTCTCCCTTTTTCTCTGTAAAAATCAATA